TCTTCAAGAAGACGAAGTTCACGACCATTAAAAAAGTCCGGAGTTCCATTCGCATGATTACACACTTCATGGATTGCGCCGACACGAGTTCTTCGCTAAAGCATAGTGAGAACAGTTATAAAACGTATTATGTATGCTCTTATCACGCCTTATAAGAAATAGTGATAAAATTCAGTCTGGCCTTGAATCGTAACGATGACGTTTGAGTGGTTTTTCGATGAGCCACTTCATCCATCGACGCGTACTCAGCTGAACTGATTTATTCATAAGGCGTGCCTCAGATCCAGAATTCTTTGATCCTTTCAACACGAGATTATTTGCTAAGTGTCCAAGACTATGTTAGTTAATATTTCTCAGTTGAGGTTTTCCGTCTTCCCGTCTTCAGCTAGAGAAACATGAGAGAAAAGGCTAATCCAGAGGTTCTGAAACATTTTTTGCCCCATGCATCCCTCTTAAGATTACTAGATCATATCCCCTCCCTTTCTAAAACTTCAAATGCATATGCACATTTATTTAAATTATTTTCTAATGTGTTTTAAAAATTGAACAACATAAATTTTAGAAACTGGTAGATACCAAAACTTGTTTAAAAGTAGTTTCTTAGACTCATAAAATGAGCATTTAACCTTTGTTCCAGTATAATAAAGTTTAATATTGACTACAAATTTTATTTGTTCAATTTTTAAAAATATTTCACAAACTTATGAGTAACCGTGCAGTTAGCAACATACGCATGCCACTTGCAGTGCATTTTGGTATGGGGTTTATAGATATTTTTTTTTCCTGGGGGGTTGTAACTAAGCGAAATCTCAGATAAATGGAAATCGTAGACAAACTTCACTTCTTTATTTCGCTGAACACTGGTAGTTCGGTCCGAGGTTCGAATCCCGCGAACGGGCTGGCTGCATGGGCATGGGTGTTTTCGTGGTTTTCCCCATGTGTAACGTGTATACGAGGAAGTTTCCCGTAGAAAGTCCTCCACGGAGTCATCCATCCCCTTAGGCAGATAGCCCTAGTGTACTTTTCCATAATTAAATACACACGTACACACTCTTTATTTCGCGGTCATTTATTAGTCCAAAGAAGCAATTTGCCCAGAGGGACAATTAATTTCACTTTGGCATTTTGCGGTCATTCACTACAAACGTTGTTTCACTTTTCAAATTGTTGCCACCAAATATTATCACCCTCTTATTATATTTAAAGAATATAAAAAAAAATAATGAAGAATCTGCATAAATGTATGTACGAGTGTTTCCCGCATTGTGATTAAACAACGGCACCTGGAGCCATCAAATTTTAGATAACGTAATCCTCCTGCGAATATGGGCATCAAGAAGCCGAAATTTGGAATTTGTTTTATTATTGATTTCATATTTTGTAAAACTTTAACGAATTTTTGATTAACACATCTAACGATTTCAAAGCGAGCAATGGCAACACTGTACGGAAAAACAAAAAAACATTTTTATCTCCAGCGAACGAGATTGTATCGGAAATTCTAAAGATAGGCTCATTTAAAAATTATTTTGCCATATTGCTGTTGAACTGAATTTTATGGTCTAAGTGCGAGGAACATGATATTTAATGAATAAAGGTAACACACAAAATATTTAAAAAATGCCCCTTTGGACGTAATTTAAAATAATAAACCTTTCAGGTTTGTTTTTACTCTTTTTGTGTGTGTGTGTGTGTGTGTGTGTGTGTGTGAATTTTAAGAGAAACGATATGGTGATAACGATGATTTTTCAGTAATCTTAAACACCAGTATTTCAAAAAGTTTCCGTAAGGGTAAAAATGTTGATCTAGGTAATGTTCGACGATAGTAAAGGGTAGTTTTCATGACTACGGTCGCTATCGTTGTATCTTATATTCTTCTTGAGGAATGTTGACCAATTTTCGGTCCAAAAAAATATTTTCATCATCTGCATTTAAAATCATAAAGCTGATTCTATCATTCTAACTTAAAAAGCGGCAATTTAACATTGGATGAGATTCAATTTCTTGATAAGTTAGGATATTTTTTTCTTTGTGACGTGTGAAGTTGATTAACCCTTTTGTGCTTTACTGGTTTTATTGGGGGACGGATATTACGCACAGCCCCGTTGGTATCGCTGTGGCGAAGGGTGAAACCAGTTTTCTCCATAACCATTATCTAACCCGGAAGGGAAACATGGTAAGTGGTTTTAAGCCTTTAACTCTGGCCATCTTCAATGATGAATGGTACTTATTACAGAAAATGAGGTATGAGGTCTCTTGAACAAGCTGAATTTCGGAAGATACGAGAATTTTGCATAAGCCTAAATTCCATGGAACGAGGATGTCTCTTAGTTAATGGTCATATATTCGTACTGAAAAAAATTCGTGAAGTGCTCAAGGATATCAGATATTTTAAACACACGCCATTTTCTGCATAAACATTCTGTAATGTACCACTAGGAAACATTGCATTATAAATTTATTTTTATTTCCTTGTACGAAGTAAAGGATGTACTGTAACCGCAAAAATTTCGGATATAATATTTCAAAGAAAATATCCATTTTTACCGCTCTCGAATGCATTTCAACGTTTTTTTTTTGGGGGGGGGACATTTGTACATACGGGCAGAATAACGGACTTTTTTATTCCAAAATGGATTGTGACACGAATTTAAAAGTATTTTTACGATAACCTTAACAGCCATTTTTGATCATTTTTAAGTTGAACAGACTACAGCCCCGGACGTAAGTATTTTTCGTCCTTTTTTATTTTCTTCTTTGGTCTTTACAAGACCCATTTCGATACGTTTTATTCTGTTTCTTTTGATTCTTCTCATAAAAAAAATTTATAATTTTTCTAGCTAAAGGGACATCCCTTAAAATTTTTTTTATCTTAAAATTTTTGGACTTATAGCTTTTTAGCTATTCATTTTAATTGTACATTTGCTTAACTAGGCTTTCTTGTATAGCTTAATTAATAATCACTTACATTTACAATTTTAATTACATCGCGTCCATTGCTTTTTAGCTCGTATATTTTCATTGTACATTTGCTTTACTAGGCTTTCTTGTTTATTAGTAAGTGTGACATTTGCAATTTAAATTACCGCGCGTCGGGAAAAGGAGCCATATAATTGGGACTTGCTAAACTTTTTTATATTATTGAGTTGTATTTTTCTGTTAGTGAAACTACGTTTATAATCTCAATTATTATCGTTGGACGAAACGCGCTGTAGATATTAACTTATTCGAGTTTTGAGCTGCTTTTCCCTTGATAAATCCGGCTCAAACCTCGAGTTGAGCTATTTACCATTTATTGCATATTTCTGTACATATTTAATGTGTATTTGAAATGTATTTAATTTTAAAAGAGTTTCTTTTAATTCTTTGTAAGTTAAAATTTCAGTATTTTTATCACCCTTTTTTGATTTTGAAGTCATCTCGATTTGTGATTTTTACCTTTAGTTTTTACGAGATAGCTTTTACTACTTTGATGTTGTTTCTAATTGTGACATGATTTGACATTTTTGCTAAGGAACTGTAGTGCAAATGTATTTTTTAGCATTAGCTTTTAAACATTCTCTATATAATTATATATATATATATAGATATATATATATATATATATATATATATATAATGCGACCTTTTTTTGGCAATCATTGGTCGCAGTTATGTAATCCAGTTACAGAAGTGTATTTTAATCACGAAAGTAATCATGTTTTGCCAATGCCAAAATAAAATTAAAAAAAAAAAAAAAAAAAAAAAAGTAAAATAAAAAAATCAAGCGTTTAATGCGATTTCCTGGTTCCTATACTTATATTTGGGAAATTTTTAAATTCGTTATGAAAAAGTAAAATTGCAAGAAATTTTGACTCCCGTGGGACAAAAATTAATTGAGATATTCAAAATTTGCAAATTTTGATGTCATTTTCGACTTGCATTGAAGAATCGGTTAATAAAGCCTGAAAAATTCGAGGAAATAAGTTTAAATAAAATGCAGCCCCCCCCCCCCAAAATGCTTATAATTTAACAGGCGGTGCAAGGAAGTCATGTGGTGTCTACATCAGAGGGGACCCAATCACCAAATCCTGGTGGTGACGAACTATGTCTACCACCCTTTAGTTTTGGTCCAGTGTAGAGTCATTAGTTTTTTTTTTTTTTTTTTTTTTTTTTTTTTTTTTTGGGGGGGGGGGTTAAGGTGGGCAATGCCCTCGCTGAACCGTGGATTTGTAATAGCAGATGTGATTTTGCGAAGGAGCTTTTTCGGCTAACATCGTACAGCGATTGAGTGAGAAAATGTAAGATTTATAAAATGCAGACGCATGATACTGTTCCATGCGTACGGGGGTCGTAATAAATTGAATGCACAAGTCCGATGAAAAGTGAATAAAATTTATTCTTATCATATTTTAAACTACTAAAACTTTTAACAGAACTTTATTCAAAACAGAGAAACGTAGAGTAAGCTAATCCAATCTCTCCACGAATTCGCTACAGTAAACAACAACAGTTATCCAAACAACAACTGAAATGAGATGTTTTCCTCCAGCTTTTATAAGCTTTTTAAATCACGCACGAGAACCTTCTCGTATTTTCTCGACTCTTCTGGATAGCAAAAGAGTACAATTATTATTAAAATGTTAAATGAGCGTGCTCCTATATTTTAATTTTTCCGGCGGAGCTTTCTATTCAAATAAGTCTCGCACAGGAATATAAAACAATTTTAACTATAAATTCTACTAAAACTAGCTAAATAAATACAAAAACCTTAACAATAATTTACCGATTAATACATAAAAGCTTTTGAAATTCTGCCAAAACAGCGAGGAGTTACCTGGGAGTACATCAGGGCACGGAAAGGTGCAATGATTAATTTAGTGTGTTAAAATCAGTGACTTTCAAATCAGTTAGATGAAAATGTGCATGTTTATCATAAGTTATTGTAGATATTGTCTCTTTTATTAATGTAATGTGTGTTTATCAGCATTTTCTTTAATTTTGCTGTTTTATAATTTCAGAACATTATCGATGAATTTGGTCCATACACAAAACAACTGGTTGCAGCTGGTAGAACATATCTAAAGTCTTTGCATGGTAAGTTAAAAGACCTTTAGCTGTCAATATTCATAAATGATGTAAGCATATTATATAAATTATAAATGTAATAAAGGTTTTAAGGAATTAAGAAATAGCAAATGGGGAATATAAACTGTTTTTTAATGTATTTCATTAGCATTAAAATTAAGGGTACTTTTCTGTTTTGCCCGTGCAGGCATCTGTAGTAACATTTGAGCATCTGTAGTAACATTCCAGCTGTCGTACACCATTTGTATTCATGTCCAATAAATGTTTCAAATTAATTGCTCTTGTTTCTTTTCACAACTTACTCCTGACATTTCCGGACATACCTTCCTACGCAATTCTTAACCCTTATGATGTGCACTACATCCCCTAGAAGTTTGTCGCAACATTAACGGTACATCCTGTATATATCCCATTTTTAATGTTCAGATTTCTTAGGGTACTTTTCTGTTTTGCCGGTACAGGCATCTGTAGTAACATTCCAGCTGTCATACCCCATTTGTATTCATGTCCAATAAATGTTTCAAATTAATCGCTCTTGTTTCTTTTCACAACTTACTCCTGACATTTCCAGACATACCTTCCTACGCAATTCTTAACCGTTATGATGTGCCCTACATCCCCTAGAAGTTTGTCGCAACATTAACGGTACACCCTGTATATATCCCATTTTTAATGTTCAGATTTCTTAAATTGCTTTAAATTAACCCGCCGTTTTAAGCATATGAAACCATCAAAGAAACATTTCGGGAAAATAAAGTTAACCTTCAAACCATGGACCCATTTCGTAATTTTGAAATCCAGTACCCAGAAATTTCAGAGATTTCTCTTTTCCCTTTCCTCCATAAAAACTTTTTCTGAGGAAACGTAGATTATTTCTGTATGAGAAATATCTATATGAAATAGCTTTTCTTTCATTCCTGATAAGAGTAATAAAATTTAAGTGGCTTTCAAAATGAGTTGCTTTTTTTAGTTTTCAAAATGAGGATAAAAATTTCAGTAATTTTTCATATTTCTTTCAAGAACGCTGTTAACTAAGATTAATTATGGAAATAGTCTGATATTTTGAAGCATTTTTGTTGCTCAAAATTTTCAACAAAATGTGTTTTAAATAGTTTTTCACCTAAAGTTGCTGCATTATAGGAAAAAAATCGAGCTTACGAACGAGTCAAATTCAGAAAAATGAATTTAGTATCATAGAAGAGTATCAGATTTTGAAGAGTGTAGTCTTCCACCCGAATATGAGCAGGTAGAAGCCCGAATTTAGAATTGCGAATTTGTTTATCTATTTCGTTTATATATTCATTTTGCAAAACTTTAGTGAGTTTTTGATTAACAAACTAAACGATTTCAAAGCGAGCAGTTGCAACCCTGAACGGAAAAAGACATTTTTATCTCCAGCGCTCGAGACTGTCTATCGGAAATTCTAAAGGCATGCGATTTCTAAATATTTCTAACCCAAACGGACATTAGCACAAATGTTCTCGAAACGTGTATGTCTAAATAAAAAAAGGCTCCTTTGGGCATAACATAAAATCTGAAAGCTTTCAGTTTTTTTTTTTTTTTTTTTTTTTTTTTTTATTTTTATTATCTCTTTGCTTTTTGGGAGAAGGCTAAAGAAAAATACTTTTTCGTTTTTTACCTCACGTAGAAATGGAATGGGCCCACCAGCGGCCGAGCGGTAAAGTCGCTGAACACTGGTAGTTCGGTCCGAGGTTCGAATCCCGCGAACGGGCTGGCTGCATGGGTGTTTTCGTGGTTTTCCCCATGTGTAACGTGTATACGAGCCAGTTTCCCTTAGAAAGTCCTCCACGAAGGCATCCCTCCCCTTAGGCAGATAGCCCTAGTGTGCTTTGCCATAATTAAATACACCACACTAGAAATGGAATGGTTCATCAGTCGAATGTTCTTTACTTTGAATTGCGGGTACGATAGATACGTTATATAAATTGTTCAAAAGTGATACTTTTCATTATTTTATAACAATTTTACTTACAAAATAGATCGAGCTGTTTTATATGAAATCGACCGTATCATATACTTTCAGTTAACACTACTGGTAAGTGTTTACTATGAGCGATTTGAACCATGAGTCATAATACAGATCCTTCCTTTCAAGCATGACGAAGCTTAATTGTTCGTAGAAACCGTCCTTATAATTCTAATAACGCTTCTTTTTGCCTCTGCGTTACTCTGCAGTTTCGTTTATTCATCGTCTAGTCTACGAAGTTTTGATTGAAGGTTGCTTTGTTCGTCACGAAGTCAAAATGCGTGTCTGAAAGAGAAACGGTGTTCAAGGAAATAGCTGTTCACTACTGTTACCTTGATTTGTGCGATATGCATTTTACGGTATCGTATTTACTCGGAAAACAAGGCAGCCTATTTTTGTTCTAAAATATCACAGGGTCTGTGATCGAGTATTTTAATAAGTCAAATTGCGCACAGAAAGCAAAGCGTTTAAATATTACAGTGTATAGAATAATTCGTTTAAATGTTAAATAAACCACACAGGTGGTTTATGCATAAACTACATAAATTCTGCTAATTATAATATCCATGTCTAATTGAGCGATTTCAGTTTAGGTCTGCATCCATTGTACTTATTACTGGTATGCTAAAAAATAAAGTACCATTAATTTTTTAGCTCAGAAGGGCTATTAATTTCGTTTTCGCATTTTCCGTCGAATCACTATAAGTGGCGTTTCAATTTCCAAATTGTTGCCACTAAATATTAGAGAGCTGCATTGTATTTAAAGAAATTAAATAATGAAGAATCTGCATGATCATATGTGTATTTCTGGCATTGTGAAAAAACGACAGCACCTAGAGACACCAGATTTTCGTTAACGTAATCCTCCACCCTAATATGGGCATCTGGAAGCAATAATTTGATTTTGTTTTATTATCATTATTATTTTTTATTATCAACTTCATATTTTGTAAAACGTTAACGAATTTTTAATTAACAAACTCAACGATTTCAAAGCGAACAATGACATCACTATACGGAAAATAAAAACGTTTTTATCTCCAGCGCGTGAGACTGTGTTCTCGCGCGCTGGAGTCTAAAAATTCTAAAGATATGCTCTTTAAAGATTATTTTGTGATATTGCTTTTGAATTGAATTTTATGATTTAAGTACAAAAAACATGATATTGAAAAGTCCCCTTTGGGTGTAATCTAAAATCTGAAAACTTTCAGTTTTTTATTTACTCCCCCCTAATATTTCTTTCTAGCGTGTATCATAGTTAAGTACTGTATTTAATTTCGTAGCTATGTTTTATTCTGATTAGAAACAAATAAATTCTAATCAGAACTATGTTGTGTAGTGAAATAAAATATTCACCTACATTTTTTAAAAAAATTTCATTTAAAATGTAAGACTTATTTTTGAGTAAATATGATATCTGCAGGATTTGAGTTTATATGTTAACCTGTAAGTAATGGATTCAATTCATATGAATCTGCACAGTTTGTGAAAGCTGGATATGTTAAGAAGAAAGGGTAGGTCAAAACTGGAATTAATAAAAAAGTTGCGATGAAAATTAAATTTGATTAATGCATGTATGCATCTGTCATACCATCTTCATATAGAGTTCTAGTTTGGGGTTTGTATTGACAGCTCGTATGAAAAAATTTGTGAATTAAAAAAAATCGCATTTTTAGATTTGAAGGGTGGGCTTGAATTGCATCGACTGCTCTGAAATACGAAGCTATCGTTTACTGCACCATGTCTCCGCCTAATAAAAGGTGTTATATTTAAAATAATAATAATAATAATAATAATAATAATAATTGCAGGCTTTACTTTATTGAAATACTAACCTTCGTCTGGCTTTTAAATGTACCGTATAAATGCCAAGAGAACACCAAGCATTAAATTTAAAACGTGCGCAGAATTTTACTCTGCAGAACTATATATATATATATAAAGTATCACATATTAAAAAAATTGCAATGAAATAGCAATATCCCTTAATACAAATATTAATTATCCGTAATAAATAAATTAACAAACTTCCCGTTGGAAAAAAAATCATGCTAAACTTTTCAGTATCTTAAAAACCGTGAAATAAGCAATAAAAATATTTTATCTCATATTTTCAACAGTCAGCAGTCCAGTATACAAAGCATTCAGTGGGAAAACTGTTGCCAAAACCGAATTTCTAAAAGAATGAAACTTTTGAAAATGATGCGATTTCATCAAAAAAGATTTAACAAAATCTGATTGGAATTTTGAAAGTAATCGCCTCGAGGTGCACTGGCTCTTGTCTAGATGTACCTATGTTATATTAAAGTGACCATATTTCCATTGAAACAAAGCGGGACAAATGGAATGAAATGAGAATTATAATTTAGTTATGAAAGCAGACGAATAATTCAAAAAAATATACACTCGCTTCCAAAAGTTAAGCACGAAGATGTAAAATGCAAAAAAATCAACAAATACTGCTTTGATTGACACAAATTTCGGCAGGAAAGTAGCATATACGTATATTTATGCATAAAACAAAATCAATAATTATATACAGAAATGAAAACAATATTAAATTTTTGTAAGTTATCAAATAATGACATACTGGAGACTTAAACAGAATTATGTATAAAGTGAAAATAAACAGCATAAAATAAAAAAAGGACATTAATAGGGTATGTGATTCCGCCCCTCATCTGTATACAAAGTTTACACCTTGTGACCATGCTTTCAATTAGGTAGTCAACCACCACAGAATTAGTAAGCAATCGCCATTCTTCTTGTAGAGAAGTTTCCAGCTCAATTAAGAGTAGCTGGAGGTGGGAAACGTGAAGATACAGCACTGCCGAGAGCATCCCAAAGATTTTTCAATGGGATTAAGGTCGCGTGCAAATATGCTGGCCACGCATCATACGCGCAATCCCTTCACTCTCCAGGTAGTCATCGACGATGTCAGCTCTATGGGGACGTGCGTTATCGTCCTTTAAAACAAAAGTAGGACCAACTGCTGCAGCGTACAATCTCACAATGGGTTCTA